CATCTTTAGAAATTGCCTGACATTTTTTTGTTAGATGTGCAATTCACTAGGTGGTGCCCTTACTTTGGTTGATTAAATGATTTCTCATACATGCAGGCAGCCAATTCAAGTATGTGAAGCACAAGATTGATGGAGTAGACAAAGAGAACTTCACATACAGTTACAGTGTTGTAGAAGGTGATGCTTTGATGAACACCCTTGAGAAGATCTGTTACGAGACCAAGTTCATGGCTGCCGCAGATGGAGGTTCCATCTGCAAGAGCAGCAGCAAGTATTATGCCATTGGTGACATAGAGATCAGGGAAGAAGATGTCAAGACCGGCAAAGAAAAGGCCTTGGGATTGTTCAAGGCTGTTGAAGGCTACCTCCTGGCAAATCCTGATGCCTACAACTAAGGAAACCTTCTTAATTAGTCTTTTGGCTTGTTAAAGTGGTCTGCTCTTTCTTTATTTCCTTTACATTGAAGAGTGCATTTGGATGTTATACCATTCTGCATAACAATAATTAATGAAAATCATCATTATCTATGTATTCATGTAGATGATTGGAATATAATACCCACAACGCTTTTATATAATGAAATATTATGAACTTTTTTTTACTTAATCATATACCTATCATGTACTTGAGTTTCGTGATCCAATGATTATATGATTAATCATAAAGTGCATCCTCCAACTTTAGGATTAGAGTTCGAATTCACCTCCCCAAATAATAATCCGTTCAAAAAAAAAATAAATCATACGCCTACTGTTTTGTAACTATTATAAAATTTTATTAAAAGTTTATTGTAAGAAAATATTGTGGGTGAAGCAAATTCAAATAAAATTATAAATTGAGGGGACAACTTATTAATAAAAACTTGAATAGTTGGTTACAATCATACACTTACTATTCTGTAACTATCATAAAATTTCATTAAAAGTTTATTGTAAGAAAATATTGTGGGTGAATCAAATTCAAATAAAATTATAAATTGAGGGGACAACTTGTTAATAAAAACTTGAATAGTTGGTTACAATTATACACATATTATTTATTCTGTAAATATCGTAAAATTTCATTAAAAGATTATTGTAAGAAAATATTGTGGGTGAATCAAATTCAAATAAAATTATAAATTGAGGGGATAACGTGTTAATAAAAACTTAAATAGTTGGTTACAATTATATACCTGTTCTATAACTATTATAAAATTTCATTAAAAGATTATTGTAAGAAAATATTGTGGGTGAATCAAATTCAAATAAAATTATAAATTGAGGGGACAACTCATTAATAAAAACTTGAATAATTGATCACATTATGAATTCAGCCACAAGAAAACTACGCCATCTCCTAGTTCTAGAAGGCTAGATTTTATCACCGACTGCTATAATTGAGATGAGTTAATGCCACCCAAAGTTGGAGAGAAGGTTTCTTCAACTCCCTTCATTAAGATTGTGTTGGGGAGCCATATTCAGCACAGAAACATGCAAACTGCACTGGCTCTCTTCCTCCATCTATAAATAGCACATTTTAGGTATTTTCAATCTCATAAGTCTTAATTTTCTTAGGATTTTTCTAGACTCCAAAAATATCCTCAAAACATGGGTGCACTCACTTTCACAGAAGAATTCTCTAGCCCTGTCACGGCGAAGAGAATGTTCACAGCTTTAGTCCTGGAGGCTGATGCCCTTATCCCCAAGCTCATGCCTCAAGCAATCAAGAGTATTGAAACAACTCATGGTGATGGTGGTCCCGGCACCATCAAGACCTTAACCTTGGCTGAAGGTATGCTGTACATCCTTGTGTTATATATATATTTTTATTTATTTTGAATTGTACAATAGAAGATAATTTTTTTTTATTTTTAATTTATTAAACTCACATATTATGCAACTCGAATTCGAAACCTCTTATTTATAAAAAAAAATACTATTGAACTATTTAAATAATCGATTTTTGTTATATCATTTAATCAAAACCTCTCATAATCAAATTGCTGGACTGTCTTAAATTTACTGTACATTGCACTAAAAAAAAATTATTTACTTTTAGGTGCTCAGTTCAAGAATCTGAAGCATAGGGTTGAAGCCATAGACAAAGAGAATATGAGATATAGTTATTCAATGCTTGAGGGAGAAGCCTTGATGGACAAGGTTGAATCAATCATTTATGAGATCAAGTTTGAGCCTTCTTCGGATGGTGGGTGCAAGGTAACAAACATCAGCAAGTACATTCTGAAACAGGGAATGGATACCCCGGAAGAAGAAATCAAGGCTGGAAAGGCAAAGGCCATGGCTGTCTTCAAGGTTGTGGAGGCCTATCTCCTGGCAAACCCTGATGTCTGTGTTTAAATATCATTTCTCTTTTACTTCAGCTATTGCTGTTATGTGGTTTCTGTGTGTTTCATATACCATGGCGAAATGAGTACGTTTGGCCTCATTAAATAAAACTCTACTACATTTCTTCGTTTTCTATGCTAAATTTTCTGCGTGCTTTTACATCACTCATGGAATTGAAAAAATTGTGAAATTCGACAAAAAAAATGTGTTATTCATATCAAATCAAAATGGTGGTTGTATTAAAAATTTCTGCATTCATAAGATAAATCCTAAATTATTGCTCTAAACCGACAAAAAAAAAAAAACTATATTATTGTTCTATAGTCTATGCCCAAAATAAACCTATATCATGAGTAGTAATTTATTTATATATAAATTTTACATATTAAATTTACACAAAATTTTAATAATTTATTTTTTTACTTTTAATAGTTAAAATTTATTAGAACTTTTTAGATAAAAAAATAAATTTTTTTAATAAATATGATAAAAATAAATAAATTTTAATAATTAAAAATTAAAAAATAAATGACTAAAATTTTATATAAATATAATGTAAAAAATTGATATATAAGTAAATCCTAATTCATATATCATTAGTTATAAACTAAGTTTGTTGAGAGGCTTAATTGTTACTAAAGATAGTTAATTTTAGAAGATCAATTGATACAATTATAAAATATGATTGCATCACAACACCTTACAAACGAAGCTTTTATTTTACTAGTGTTAAATGGGAGGATGTTGGACTGGGCTGAATAATGGGCCCTCAGTCCAAGATCTCAAGCTCAGCCCACTTATACAGTCTGTTTGTTCTCCTTTCTCGTTTTGAAGTCCGACTCTAGGTTCCATTTAAAGGGACTGAATAGAGGAGTATTCTTCGTCTGTTACTGCTTGCCTGTGTCAGCTCCTTTCCATAAGAGGCAACAGAAAAAACCCTAAAAGTTTATCACTTTTGTCGATCCCTTCCGCTCCGACATTTGAATCCGATTGAACTCGAACTGGGTATTCGATTTCCGGCGACCTACACACAACAGCTATCTAAAGGTGACTGCTTTCTTGATGGACGGCGCTTGTTTTCTTCTGGGGGAAATCTCTTTTTATCTTCCTTGGATTTTGCTTGGTTAATTTATTGTTGATGTGTTTATGTTCCTGCATGTGTAGGGTTGCTCTTGGATTTCTGGGGAGGTGCAGATTCCGTGTCTGTGACGGACGTGAGAAGTAAATGGACTGGGGTAATTGAATTGTTGAACTATGCTTGCTTCTGCTTTTAATTGAATAGGATTGAGGATTTGATGATTCTAAAGCTTGAATTTTTGAAGTTTTAAGCATAATTTGGAAGGGTGCGTTCAAGCTGAAGGGAGGAGCCCCTTGAGGGACTCCCATCTCCCAATGGTGTCCAGGATTAATTGGGATGAGAGGTGTAGGTTTAACCGTTTAAGTCTAATAGTCCCATCAATTAAATAATTGTGTTAGGTAGCTGGAAGCTGGAAAATTTTATTTTCTACATTGGTTTCTAATTATGCCTCAGAGCTGATTTCTTCGTGGAAGAAGCTGTCCATACAAGTCCTCTATTATTTTCATAAATATGAAGCTGGTCCTATCTTCAAGTGCTGGGCCTCGGTTCCTTTTTTAATTTCTAAAAGGTGTTTCCTTTTATTGCAGAGGATGAGCAAATTCCACCTCTCCTTTCTAAGGAGCAGCCTACAAACAAATGGGATGATGAGGATGTGGATGATGAGGATGTGAAGGAGTCGTGGGAGGATGAAGATGAACCTGCACCAGCACCGGTATGGTGATAATTTAATTATTGATAATAACTCAGCAGTTGGTGGTTTTTAATTATTATCTCATTTGCTTGCCTCTAAACTATTCAGTTGACTAGAGTTCTGAGTATTGGATAATCTGGCTAGTTATATTGTTATTGATGCCTTGGTTGTTGAGTTTGTATATGTCATCTGTGGATGTAATTAAGTTCTATCTTTATAATTTGCCAAATTGGAGAAAGCCTTGCACTTTCTAATTATCTTCAGGTGATTTTTTTCTTATTCATTTCTTCTGTCAATAAATGTGATTTAGAAGGGATATTTAGGGTATTCTTGAATCTTCTTATGCTATTTAGGTTTCTTTTCAGTAGCATATTCTCAATATTAGACTATTTAATTAAAGCATTTTCCATCTTTTTGCTCTTGGCATGGTATGTTTGGTTCTTGAAAAGAGAAGGTTTGAGTGTGAAACTCTATTGATAGCTTTCTTGTTTCTGTGCATTAAATGTGGATGCCATTTTGTATTAGGTTTGCTAAAATTATATCCCAAAAACACTAGAATTATCATTAGCTGGCATTATCAAGAGAAAGAGATGATGCTTGTTCTATTAGAATTATCATTGTTGTCCAGTGATAAAGACCTTACTCACTGCTGCTAATCAATGAGAACCAAGCAAAGTGATGGTGAAAAATAGGAAATTGTGTGATATTCAATTCATGCAGAGAGTAATATTGGTTTTGCAACAGATCTTATAACATTACCTAACATCTAGTGTTTCTGATTAACTACCTTGATCTTAAGTGGTTGCTATCAAGTCATCTGTTGGAAGATGGATTAGAGTATTGAATTTGAACTTATGGTATATAATTTCTTTCTCTGGTCTGTGGAGTGAAATTCTGGTTTTCTACTTATTTATTTTTTGACATGGGATCAGCCACCTGCTACAAAACCTCCTCCTGAAAAGGCCCCCAAGAAGCCTGTATCAAAAGCTCCAGAAAAGAAAGGAAAAACTGTTGAGGAAGAAAAGGAAGAGCCACTAGATCCTGTAGCTGAGAAACTCCGCCAGCAAAGGTACAATTCATTGTTTCTAGCTTCTGACCTTAGTTCTTGTGTGTCTGTACACAAAAAATTGCTGAAAAATTGTACTCTTGCCCGAAAACTTTGGGTTCAGTTTTGTACTGATGATATACTATTTGGGTGATTTCCATTCCAAACTTAAGGCAAAATTTTAATTGATAATTCTAAAAAATCTCAGTGAAAATTAATAATTTTAGGCTCACATCATTGATATTGTTGGAAAAGGTGATAAAAGGGCACGTAAAATTGTTGATTTCCCTGATAAATAGTTTCTTCTATTTTTCCTTATTCAGAAATGATTGATTGGGCAAATGGGCTATTTCATTGTTTCAGAACCAGTGCTGTGATAATGAGCCTCACACTGACTAGTATCTTATGTTGTTGGGTCCTCCATAGCCATTTCAATAAATTATAAAAGATTATTAAAGAGAGTATCTTTTCTGGATGTTGCCATGGTGTTCCAATTTCACTGCAAGACTATCTTAATTTATTTATTTTTAATTCTCTTTCTTTTTGAGGGAGTAATAAGTACTAGAAATTCTCTCTTTATCACAGGCTTGTGGAAGAAGCTGATTTCAAGTCTACTACAGAACTTTTTGCCAAGAAGGTTGGTGATGACAAGACCCTTGACAATTTTATTCCTAAGACTGAAAGCGACTTCATGGAATATGCTGAGCTCATTTCTAATAAACTTCGGCCATATGAGGTTTGTAGAATGAATATCTCATTTCTTGCCATCAAGATTGAGATGGTTTGTTTCTTACTTTGGCAACACCCATTTCGAAATGCAGAAAAGTTACCACTATATTGCTTTACTCAAGGCGGTGATGAGACTATCAATGACTGCTTTGAAAGCAGCAGATGCCAAGGAGGTTGCATCTTCTGTCACAGCAATTGCAAATGAAAAACTAAAAGCAGAGAAAGAAGCTACTTCTAAAAAGAAAGGTACTTCTACTCCCTTTGTTATGTTTTAACTATTATTTCTACTCTTGGTGGGAGTATGGATTGAGGGAACTTGGTACACAAGCTAGTGAACATTATAAATATGACAACTAATAGGGAAATGTTTTTCCCATGGAGTGGCTGTAATTTGAAAAGGCTAAAAACTACTCCAAAGCTCAATTACATGGGGTTTTATTTATATATATATATATATATATATATATATATTTATGAGCTCATTTACATGGTTAATGTTCCACCAATAATAACAATTATACACACCCCAAAGCTAACAAAGATTTATTTTAAGAAAAGTTAGTGATACATGTCCATGGTAACCCACTCTGTTTTGCTACATTGGTCTACTTGCATTCTTTAAAGGGAATCAAAGTACTTAATGTGATCAAACACCATAGCATAACCAAATCAAAATTGTATCTTTAGTTATTTAGTTATGTACTTGATGTCTGCCTATCATCTTTCGCTAAATGAATATTTTGTTCATTGTTCTAAGATTTTGAGTTTACCTTAACAAAGACTGCTACCAAAACTTGTGCCTTCGTTAATATACCTTTTTTTCCCCCCTGTGTCTCTTACAGTTGCCAAGAAAAAGCAGCTTCATGTTGACAAACCAGATGATGATTTGGCTGCCAATGCTTTTGAAGATTACGATGAGTATGACTTCATGTGATTTATTTGGGCAAAACAATAATGTTCCTTTGTTTGCTATAGGATCCTATATATCAGCTTAAATTCATTCAACAATACGATCCTACCATTCGTTTTTGTTTTCCCAATTTATGGAGAGTTAGTTGTCTGGTGACCACAGCCGAAACATGAAGTATAATGTCATATAAACCATTAAAACTATAAGCCTAGAAAAGTCTTTTGCATAGATTTGGGGTCTGAATGTGTTATTGAAATTCATTTGGTGCTTTACATGATGCTGAACCCTTTTTGCTGTAGTTTATACAATTTGCCATTTGTTTGCGCATTATGAGTACAATTCCCAATCTTTGAATAAATGTTTATAAGAAACATTGCTCTTAAGGTGGTTATGTAGCCACGGAAAAACGCTGGCAGAGATGTAGCCTCTCCTTCTATCATAGCCATGACTTAGCCTTTTCTCTCTATTCTATATTAATTTCTTTTTATTTATTTATTTTTTATTATTATTTACTTTTCTCGTCAAATCAATCTTTGTGTTTGTTAGGCAATCCTTTTCTCTATATAGCTACTTTTGTGGTGGCTAGTATGAGAGTTTTTATATCCTTTCTTGTTTCTATCTTAATCAGTGTCCATGAAAGTTTATGATCTTGGTATTTGGGGTGAGCATGGTTTATGGGAAACTTGGTGTGACTATAGGGGATCTTGTGGTGAGGGTGGAGTTCTCCTGATTATTTTCTTTATGATGTGTTTGGATAAAAATTAGTGAAGGATAGTGAAGGAAACTAGGAAAGTGAGGGGAAGTAAAAAGAGGGAAAGCCAAGGAGAGTAAGCCTATCTTTGGATACAAATTAGTAAAGAAAAGGGAGGAGAAGGAAAGGGAGGAGAAGTGAAGGGAAGGAAAAGGTTGATATTAGTTTTGTTTGGATAGATGAAAGGAAAGGAGAGGAAATGATAATATTTTTATTTAATTAAATAATTTAATAAAAAATAAAACAAAAAAGGTTAAAATTTTTAAAATTTATTAATTAAATAAATAATTAAAATAAAATATTTACATATATTTATTTTATAAAAAATATAAAACAAAAATAAATTAAATAATAGAATCCCTGTCAATCTTTCCAAATTGGAGGAATTGAAAATGGAGGAAAGCAGGGGGCTTTGTCTCCCTTCGTCTCCCTCCCCTCCATTAAAATTTTTTATCCAAACAAAAAGAGGGGTTTTCATCCCCTTACTCTCCTCTCCTTTCTCTTTAACTTCTTTCTCTTTAACTTCTTCAATCCAAACAAAGCATAAATGGTAAATATTAATTTTGTTTAGATAAATTAAAAATAAAAAGGAAAGGGAGAGAGACTATGTTTTTTTATTTAATTAAATAAATTAAGAAAAATAATTATAAAATTAATTAAAATTTTGTAAATTTATATATTAAGATTAAATGTAAAATATAAATTTTAATTATATTTTTTAAAAAATATGTAAAAAAATAAAAAAAAAATAATCAAATCCTTTCGAATCCCCCAAAATGAAAGGGATTAAAAATAAGAGATTTGGAGTGAATTTATTATCCCTCCATCTACTTTCCTCTCATTCTCCCTCCATTAATTATGTTATCCAAACAATATAAAGGATAGATATCTGCATCACTCTCCTTCCCTCCCCCTCAACTCCCCCAATCCAAACAGAGACTTAGTGTTGAGTTGAAAAGGAGTTCTTTAGGGTCCGGTTGTCTGACCATGGTGGCTAGGGCGTGGCGAAAATAGTCTACCTAGAGGAAAGGACAGGTCTTTGTATGTGCTGAATAAGATAAACTAGCTATTGGAAATCTCTTGGCATCACTTGAACTCTTGAAGATGAAGATGGTAAAGTGTTGATTGGTGGCAGGGCGAATTGTTTTGATGAGAGATAATGCTGTTTGGCAATCATATCTTTTTTGAATTTTTTGGAAGGTGATGAGGAGAAATCAAGGCTCTCATTTGATTATGGGGATACTTGTTGAATTTTCAGTCTACAAATATGAGATTGAAGCAAATATTTAAGGAAGGCAATCTATGTTGAAGAATTTTTAAAATAATTTTAGGATTAAAGTTTGAACAATAAAAAACTGGTCGAAACAATTGCATAAAATGCATTTTGAGAAATTAAGTATGATACATTGAATTAGAATTCATGAGATAGAATTCTGAAAGTACAATTTTGATTCAATCAATATTTACGTTAAATCAAAAATAAAAGATATAATTCTAATATATTTTTCGAGAAAGAGTGGAAAACTTTAGAAGACAAGGAAATACATGAGTTGGAATTCGA